AACAGCTCCTGAGAAATTTTCTGTACTTTTTGAGAGTGTCCCAGGCAGAAGTCCGATCTCGAAAAACTTTAAACATTTACTAGTACAAAGCAAGCAAGAGCAGCTCTGATGAACAAACAGCTCTGCAGCAGTGCCTGGACTCACATATTTTTACTGTGGCTTCTCTCAGTGCCCAGGGAAAACACTCAAGAAGATTCCCCACCAGTCACCATACACAAACCACAGCCCTCATCAGAGGAACTCCACAGGCTCAAGGGGTGCACACAGATCTCCCAGAAACACCCCATTAGCGTCTGGGAGCCCAGGATTTTAAGTTGAAAGAAAGGAGGACTTAGGAGAAGGAGCAAAGGATAGGAGAAGACCAGGGTAAGCTCCACTGCCACTGGCACAGCAGCCTCGGTGCTCACCAGTCAGCACGCTTCATTTAGGAGCCCGTGCTGCAGCGTCGGGATCCCTTGGCCAGGATTGACCATCTAGCAAGAAATGGCTACTATGGCCTACAGCCAGTACTTGGGTGGCTCAGATATACACAGCAGCTACTTACTTTCTTACCAGAGTCTTCACCTTCAAGTCTTTATTCTGCTTCAAGATTTCTGAACTGAAGGTGACTATAGGCTGCTAGGTCAGTAAGAAGACAGCAAAACCAATACAGTAAAACTATTCCTCTGCTCTTCTCTAGCTCTCCTACTGCAGCAGGTGTTCGACCCTCACATGAGGAGAAATTACACCAAGGGTGTTCTGACAGTTGGTAATTGCACTCTGACTCAGCTTCATAGTCAATTTGTTGCATACAATTACTGTGGCTGTTCGAGGAAGTATTAGTATTTCTGTACAGAACAGGACTTTGTAACACAGCTGGTTACAACCACTACCACACACTTCTTCATCTCTAAGACTTATCACTTTCTAACACCCCAGAACTGTCCAAGGACCACATATGGTTTTCTAGAGCTCTACTTTCATGAGGTCTATATTCAGCTCAGTTGCTCTTCTTACAAAGAATCATTGGGTCATTTATACCAAAAAGCAGAAACCAGAGAAAACACTGTGAAGTTAGTCACCTACAAGGTTTAAAAAGGCACATGAGAATGAAAAGTGTGGGGAAGTGGAAATGTCAATGGGAAAGAAGCATAATCCCAGTTTCTTTTGTAATGTTGGTGTAAAAACCATAACTGAAACCAGCAGCTTTGCAAACCCCTAGACTCCTGCCACAGCCTGCTGTATAGAGTGGAATGCAAAACTCTTGTGGGAAGGGACTTTATTTCCTCCTAAAGCTTTTTATCCTCACGTGCCAATTCTTCCATTTACCAGTTTATGACTAACCCTCTTCTCTAACAGTCACCTGGTTTGTCTATGCTTAGTTGCTGCAACCACCACCTCCTCTTCCCTGAACTGCTAAAATTAGCATTGCAAAAGGCTTGAACATCCTTGAATTAGAATTAGCTAATACTTCTTGTAAATCATAGGATGCATGCATGCCTACAAAGCACCCTGTAGCACAGGGACTAGCGTGCTGCTATCACGCCTTCCGTAATCAGACACAAACAGTAATGGGAAGGTGCAAATCCCAGAAGACATTGCCTATCGTTTTGTCTTTCAAATGAAGGAGCAGCAAGTAAGTTTCTATTTCTTGTTTACATACAACCAGACTTTGAAATGGAAGCACTAAAAGCACTGATAACCTTAGCATACTAACCTAGCTGCCCCAGTTCAGCAGTTGCCTTCCCTACCTGACCCCTCAGTCAGCACCAAGGCAGTGTTCACATGCATTAAAAGCAAGTTATATAAATACACAAAGTCCTTTAGAAATGGATGGTCCTGATGGCAACAACTCCAAAACAAAGCTTTTTCTATCCATGTGCATTCAGAGGTCCAGCAGACTACGCTCTCTGCACTTTTTGTTCAGCAGGTGGTCAAGCCTTGTTCTAACAGGAACCCCCACCCCGGCACCGCAGTCTCACCAGACCCAACACGCATGTTTTCAGCACTCCTGTCCTGCGGCTTAGAAGGAGCCATTAGGTTACAGAGATTAAGACCACTCCCACACAGACAGGAAAAGCAACTTTAGCCCTTTCAGCTGGAAGAGTCAGATGATCCCTCCCTTGCTTAAAACGTCATTATCCAGGATCCCGTCCTCCGCATGCCTCATCCTCCTGTCAGTCTGAAGCTTAAAACCCTTGCATCCCCAGTCACATTTTATTTGCATTTACAGCTATACAACATGCTAAGCAATTCTGCTCCATTTTCACTTTTCTAGATGTTTAGTTTATCTCTTCCCTAAGGAAGAGATTCATCTGGCATCTTAGATGAAGATATTTTCCATTTACAGACAACTGTTTGTCTCCAGTAACTACTTGCTCCAGATTTCCTCTGCAGCTTGTAGATGTTACAGTTAGGTTTGGGATGTGTTTCACTGAAAATACCACTCAGACAAACTGCACCTCTTACTTGTGCCTACTAATGACTGAAAGGAGTTTAGAGAACACTAGCAGTTTGCTCTTCCGCTAACCAGGCACCTGCAACTACAGACCCACGCTGACTTGTAGCTGTGCTGTGTATGTGTTTATTATACATAATGTATAGCTGGGAGGAAATCTCTCCTCCTTAAACCTCCTGGCTAATAACACACTAATAACAAATAAAATGCATAGAAGGGGCAAAAATAAAGTCAGGATCAGGCTGATAATTATCAGAAACGCAACACACAAAAAGCAAATCCATGGAACTTTAAATATTTCCCCCACATATTAGCAGTTGCTTTGATTTCTGCACACCTAGCTGGAGGAAATGGAGTAAGAGGAAGTGGCAAATGGTTTATGTAAAAATACAATTATAGCAAGGTGTCCTTAAGGAATTTCAAAATTAAAAATAGTACACAAATACAGCTGAGTGACTAGCCTTCTTAAAAAAAAACACCTACTACAGCAATAGGATTTTAAAAAATAAATACAAATCAAGCTTTCTTCCAAGAACAAATTAAAGTAAACAAACTGCACATTTCAAAAATGTTTTTCCACTCACTATCAGTTCACTTTTGGAAAGAAAAAAAATAGTGAAGCATTTCTAATACAAAAAGACACAAAACATTCACTCAAAGAGAAGAAAGATGAAAATAAAAGAATACAGGAACCATATCCAAAGAGTTCCTACTTCACTCCAACTAATTAACATACTCAGGTATTTCAGCATAAAATTTTAAAGTGGGTGGGTGGGCAAGGGATGAGCTTCATTGTGCTTACTTCTTATTTTCAGTTTATTATTCTTTCACTTGTTTTGATGTACAGAATTGCAATCAACTTGCCAGAACAACACTACAAATGCAGCCAAAGCAAACCTCAGGCTTTGGTAAAGAGCTCCTGACCTAGTGGTAAGGGCTGGAGTCACCCAGGACTGACTCACACCACACAGCTGAACTGTCTTGTTGGCCTGAACCTCCAACCATCTGCTCGAAGTTTATGTGAAAGCATGAGCTTCATTATCCTTTACCTTGGAGTTTGCTGCAAAGGTCTGTGCAAAGGAAGAAGATTCAGCTGCAAGTGGTAAAATGGTTGATCAGAAAGATTTCAAACTAGAGCATGAACCTGAACAGTAAAAATATTCACAAAAATTTGTGTCCCAAATGGTTACTGTAACCACGTACTAAGGACTGAGAATGAATTCACTAGCCATGGAAGTGCTTGGGAACCATAGCATGTTTTTATAGCAAAAAGCATGTCCTAGTTCAAACCAGAAAACAGTTCTGGGAAGTCCTACTGTTTCTGTTACGCATCAGATGACATTAGGGAATCACAAACGTCCCATCTAGTTTAAAAACCAGAAGCTTAAGCAGTATGTCTTCGCTGACAGAAAGAGGATGTGGTGACTCTGTACTGCACAGGTAAATAAGAATTCAAATAAACCACTGAAACCAACAAGGCAAGTCAAACAGAGCTTTCAGTTTTTGCTTCATATTCCAATCATGATACCTCTTCCAGGTATCAGTGGAAGCTGATAGCAGCTCACTATAAATTCTTGCCCAGTCTCCTTTAGCAGGCCTCCCTATCATACACACAGAGAAAAAAAATTAAAGAAATATTGCCAAATGATAAACAAAGTTACAGAAAATTAATTCCAAATCCTTGAGAATAATCTTAAAATAAAACAAAAGTCTTGTTGTTAGATTATAATCTAAAAATTGAATAGAATCTATAGCGTTGTTATTTCTACCCCTTAGAAAATATCTGACAAGCTTTGAAAACATAAAAACAACCCTCATATTCTGAAGTTCCAAAATAATCCATTAAAATTACCATTTGGAGAAGCAACTGAGCAAGAATTCTTGTTGATTTATTACAGAGATCTCTACTTCTACCAAGTTAAAGGAATGCTTGTCTTCCAATTTTTCTGGTTTTAACTATCCCGTCTTACAAGTCAGCAGTTCAGATCTGCTGAGATAAAATCCCAAAAGTCTTACGGGTGCCTCCAGCCATGAATAACAATTCTGTCTCATATATACACACACATATATACATAAACCCAAACAAGTAACACTTGAAATCTACTGATACTCTTATTTGTAGCTCTTACACCAGTTACCAGTAATTCATATTTTGTTAAGAGACATGTGTTATTTGTTGAAACAGCTGCCAAGGAAATGCATTGGTCACCCCTCCAGAAATATCTTCTTATAATTACCACCAGACAAACAACACCTATTGCAACTGCATGAAGGTTGAGTTAATTCTATGATAACCCACAGATGTCAACATCAAGACTTCAACTAAGCAGCTTTTGCAATGTAGTGAGGTATGCTGTAAGGAATGCAATGAGGAACAAAAATACCCAAGTGACCCAGAAACCCAGGGAATGCTTTTAAGTTCCTCCTAGGGAAGTGTCAGCCCATGTGCTCTGCACACATCAGCACACCTCAAAATTCTGATGCTAACTTTTGCAGTTTAGAAGAACCTTATTTCAGCAGGTTTAAGTCATTCCTTTCCACAGAGCATTGATTTTATACTTACGTAAAAAGTGTTTTTCCAGTAAGGCTATTTCCAGGTGACCTTTAATCTCATTCAGTCTGTCAGATTCCGTTCTGTTAAAATCCTGGACTCCTGAAGCCATGATGATGGTCCCTGGACCAGCCTATAAGAAAGCCAGAATACACTGACAGCTCAGAGACACATTTTTTTTGTCATTGAAATAAATCAACTTACTTCTAAGGCAGTAAAGAAACAGCCATGTAAGAAACATGCAAATATCAACAACTCTGCGTGCCTCTTATTCAGCATTAAATCACCAAAATAAATGAGCAAAAGCTAATCAAATGCACAGCATCTCTCCCATGTGAGTTTGCAGAATGCACTTCAGCCGACCTCCAGGAGTTACAGGAAACAAAGATATTTCTTCCCCCCTTTTACCAGTTCTGCTGCATCATCATTTAGCCTTTCCTCAGCTGATTTAAAAGGCATATTTATACCATCCCTCTCCTCTTCCCATTAAACGAATGGTCAATGCAACATACTTTACATATAAAATTGTGAAGCTAGCAAAAGTAATACTTATCTAGATATTTACTGAGCTATTAGAAAACACGTATTGTCTACTTTAATATCCATTTACGGAATGTGTAATTCTGAAGACCACAGACTCTCTGCAAGGAAGGGGTTCCCCGTCCCCTCACCTCCAGCACAGCCCAGTTACTGATGAAGTATGTCACTGGTGCCCAGAAGCTCATCCTGACAGGCCAAGAAAGGGCGGGGTTAGGAGGCTGTGTATCTTGACAGATTTACCAGAACCCCTCAAACAAACTCAGCACTGGAAATACTGCAGAACACAGAAATTAAAGAGCAATTTGCTGAGTTAGGAAGATCAGTGACAACCACCACCTCCACCAAGTGCTCACAGCAAAGCCCCCAGCCCACACAGCAGAAGGCAGGTGGTGTTGTGTCTCTCTCGTAAAGTGGGCATTTTCAGAGAGCAGGGGAAAGGGTGGGTAAGGGCATCTCCTGGGTAATGGTTGTTCAGGCACTGTGTGCAGTCCCCACCAGGTACAAAAAGTCTGTCAATGAGAATTACAGGAGGCTCTCCAACAGCATATACTCAAAATCAAAGTGCTAGATTACAGAAGCCTACATCTAAGAAATGATCTCAAGGCAAAAAGGGATATATTTACCTATCCTAACCATTTCCCCATCCCTTGTTTGAGCCCCGAAAACATACAGGAACTGTATTGCTTTCAAAAGTCAGCTGATATACATTCAACCATGCCATCTAAAATTGCATACATATATAAACTCAACTAATCTACAGAGAGTTAATTAAAAGACATTTCCTATGTTTCAGGAAAGATGTGCAGAAAGCTCACTAACAGCAAAGTACTTTCACTGTTGGGAATGATTTGCACTTTTAAGATAAAACAGCGTGGAGATACCTATTAAACACCTGTTTTCTTGCTGGAGCTGAACAGATGCTGACTCTAAGCCTCAGAATTTGTCAGTATAGGCAAATTAGCACTCTGTAGGCATTTACTGCATGGCATTTACCTGGCACCAACTCCCCACCTGGGCTTGCCCAATACAGTGTCAAGCAGAGATGCTATTTCTAGTCCCAAAAGCAACACACACCCACGCAGCACTCTGCCAACGCTGCTGGCCCCGCCGAGGAGCAGAAGCCGTTAGCTCAGCAGCAGCCCCGTGCTCCTTCCCATTTTGGAGCCGGCACAAACCATGCCATAGCAGAGATGGCCAGACCCCAGGGCAGCCCTCACACGGGGAGCTGCAGCGCAGCATCCTCCTCCCTGTGCTCCACATTTCATATTCACACCCGCCTTTGGCCAGAGAGGTGCAGTAAGACGTGCCATTTGCAACTGCTCCAGCCACTGCTGAAGAGTAACAGCCGCCTGTTTTCAGATGAGCAGGGGATGGCAATTAACCTCTGTGTCCATTTCTTATCTATAGAGCTGGGTCGTATTTATTTACGCTGCAAGACTTAGTGTTATCACTTGCCAGACACTTATGAGAGCCCCAGGGAGGATGGTGTGGCTGAAGTCAAACAGTGGCACCCCTACAACACACTCTACAGGCAGGCACAAGAAAAAATGTTATTAAAATACAGACTGCTGCCCAGGCGCTAAAGCGTGGCTTTCTATATTGTATATCCACATCTGGTACAAAGGGACAATCTCTGTTCCTAACATGCAGGAGTTAATATGGAGCTGTCTAAAGAAACAGTGACACTGCTTAATAAATAAATAAATAAATAGATAGATAGACAAATAAAATCACATACAGGTCAAAGATCAAGATGCTGTACTCATCAGGAACACACCTGGGCTCTGCATCAGCTCAGTGCTTAGATAGCACCTGGATTCTAACCTGTCCCTATTCCCCAACCCCACACGCTTGGGTGGGGACAGGAACACAGAGACTGAGGTGAGGTGGGAGAGGAAAAAGAAAGGAGCTAGCAAATATCTAATCACAGTCAAGTTTTCATGCTCACTGAAGATACTCAAAATATTTCACCCAAAGATGAGCTACATTTCAGAAATCCATTTAGAGAACCAGCTCTACTTTTGCTTTTTCAGAGATGTTAAGTCATTAAGCAAAACCCAGGATGACGTGACTGTGCCTCGTGGGAAGAAGGAAAAAGCAAGAGGTGCAAGTTTCCAACTGTGTGTATCTTCTAAAGCATTGGGTCCAAGAAGTCTGACATCAGTTGATGAGTTAAAAATGAAGAGGTACACATCATTAAACTAACCATAAAAGGTTACAATGACCTTCTAAGTTAGAGAAAAAAGGGGAAAAAAAAATCCAAAGTTAAAACATAAGAATGGTTGCTAAGAATACTAGGAGCAAGACCATGTAATTATCATGTAATAATAAAATGGATTAACCAGAGTAGTAATATACATAGTGATACAAGTTTGGTGGAAAATAAAGTACCCAATTTCTAAAATTTGTGACACCATAACATATTAATGAATACAATTTAGAAGTGTTCAGAATACTGAGCATGTCTAAGACAGCAATATAGGAGACATTTAAGCAGATAGTTCTTTGGTCCCAGAAGTTTTTTCCACACACCAATACACCTGCTTCTGAAAAGAGGTGTTAACGGGCTAGAAAGACATGAAATAAGGTCTCTGTATTTGCTGGAGGTCAACTGCCTGCCTCTGAATTCAAAAAGTACCTCTGTCTGAAGTTAGCATAACTGACTCAACTCACAAGTTAACACAAATTTACCTTGTATTAATTCTGGTGTTAACTGGGTAAAAGTTTCTCCTTTCTGCTGCCTCTGTAGGCTAGTACTGGGACTCGGGCTTGATTAACTACACATTACTGTACAGATGCCCTTTCCTGCTTCTGACTCAAAGTAAAAGCCTTGAAGGCTTCCACAGATTTCTGATTTTTCTTCTGCCTCTCTAGCTTTGACAGTATTTGACACAGGAGACCTCTTAAAATGTTGGCAATCACTATTACTTAGCAAAGAGTACGCACAAGTCTCGATGGTGCCTAGGAAGCCAGCAAAATGCCAGAGTTGAGCATGATGTCAGAGACAGAGGGGTTAAAGGAAGATTTCTGATGATAACAGATTGCCTCTAACCCACTATCAGAGTTGAGAGTTGCTGCTACAAGCCAGATCCAGCTCCAGATCTGAAAAACCACATCTCCCCACAAATGTGTTTTTCAAGCTCTCTGCAGTTCAGGCTTTTCATAACAGCATCTCCCAACCTGAGAGTTGTCTGCCTTCCCTCCCCAAACCCTTCCCATCCAGTGAGCACTAGGTCTTTTTTCTGTGTGCTGAGCACCAACACCACTGTTGCTGTACAGCCACAGAAAAGGTCTAAGTCACTTCTTAACCGAGCAGATGCGGATCTGTCCTTTCCTTCTGCAGCACAGCACATCTTCAGCATCACACAGAAACGTAACTGGCCAACGCTCTCCTATTTTATTTGCATAGAATCGTGCATGGATGATACTTTCCGGAGAATATCTAACAAAACCCTGGTCTGGTCTCCAAGTTTGTAATTAACTTAGAGAGGAGCAATTCGGAGACACAGAGGATAGGGAGCAGCAAGGACACGGCATGCCAAGCCCAGGGACACAACCATCCACTTCTCCCTTCTCAGGGCCCAGCAGTGGCCGGGATATGATACGTGGAAGTAGTAGTTTAAAATACAAAATTTTAACTTGCATTCATTTGAGCAACAAAGGCAGAGGGGGAGGGATGGGGGTAAGTCTTCAGTAATACAACAAACTACAGAGGTTGTCCAGAGAGAGGTCGTAGCCTCCAGAGTTTTCCAACTGAAACTTCATGTGCATTTTTTTACTTGAAATTACAAAAGGGTTCCCTATGGCTGGTGCATTTACCTGCTGTAAGAAAAGGGAAAACCCAACGCTGCTTAAGAACGAAAGCATCTTCATGAATAGTTAATCCTTAGTACCTATTCTTGGAAGCATAATCATATTGGCAAGCTTCTAAAACACAGCTATATTTTACATAAAATTTTAAAAGTCTAGTGCTAGCCAGGTTTAGAGACTTTAATATCTTAATTCCAATGTTTGCATCACGCTTTATACCTTCTAACCATAATGCTGTATACCTTCCAATCATTGTAAATGAGGTGACCGATACAGAAGCATTTAAGGTTTTAATTGACATGTTTCACGAAAAGCCAAACTGTACTAGAACAGCAATTAAATTAATGTTTTCTGTACCACAATAACTCAGATTTAATCCTAGCACACTGGCAGGGAACTTGCATAAGTAGATTAGACTGCTTTCAGTATAATATGCCAGGTACAAGAGTGTTTTGATTTGTAATTCTCACTGCCAGGTTAGTGCAGAACCTCCAAGTGTTTAAACACAAATTTGTTCTTTCCCCTCTCTGCTGAAGGGGACATGATCCTCCTCTGCACCGAGTTCATTCATATACCTATACACAGTACTGAATGTTTTTTCCCCTTTTATAAAAATGAGGCATTTGTCACATTTAGAGTACATAAATTCATCTATAGCACAGAATAATGAGACGTAAGTTAAAATGAGGCAAATTGAACCAGAACTGGCAAATACAAGGGGAGGCTATGATTTTCAGAGCACAGTCCCCCTCCCTGAACATTTGCATCTTAGCAAATCAAGTTACTGGAACAACATTTTAAAGCTTTTTTAGGCACAGAATTGTGATCTAGCAGGAAGGAACTCATGTTGCATCTACAGAATAGGAAACCATGATGGCACTGCATAAAGGGGACTTTACCAAACAAGCAACATTACCTGAATTTCCAATGTCACAACAAGACAAATGCTAATACATTCATTATCAGGAAGCAGGACTGGACCAGGTCAGCCCCTCTATCTATTTTGCAACTGTGGTGCTTTTCTAACACAATGCAGAAATAACAGTGCTGCACGTCATTGCTTTAAAAAAAAACCAAAAAAACAACCAAGCACCTATGGTGAAAAGGAAAGAGAGGAAGAAATCTGGGAAGCCATTCAGGAGCTGAAAGAGATGCTTAGCAAAGAGTTAATTTGTTAACCAACATGGCTGTCTTGAGAGTGATCTGAGCACAGTGTCCAGGTACCCCCCCAGATGTAAGAAAGTACCTGCTATCCAAGACATACCTGGTAGTCAGGGCACTTAAGTGAGAGGGGGAAAAGCACCCACACAAGCAAACAGCCAACCTGTAAGTTGAGACCAAAGTACTTTCAATTAAGAGTAAGACATCTTTTGAACAAAAAAAAAATCTCAGAAACCACTGAGGAGAATTCAAAGGAAAATAACAAATCCTTCCAAGTCCAGGGCCCTCCTACCAGGAGCTAATTGTATGCTTTACCCAAACACGAGTTAGGATGTTTATTATTGAACTAAATAGATAAAGGTCACAGTTTTAAGATAAAGAATATAAGATGACCTCATCTGGCCATCCTTTCTGTCCTTCCACAGAGTGTAAATTTTACATGTGCTACTTTGGTAAGATGTGAAATGTTGGAACTAAGTCCCAGTGCTATATCTGGGGCCTGGGATTGAATGTTCACTTCACTTGTTGGAGGTATGCAACAGAGGATGCTCTTTGCAGATGGTCAGGGCTCTGCAATCACAAGCTTTCTGACAAGGCTTTTTAATCCAAAACCTCAATTTGTGGCAAGTTTTTGCATAAGCTTGTCAAGTTCAGACACATACATAAATAATAGGCACCTAATGTGCTCATTTTTAAGTGCAGGATGTACCCCTGAGGCACAGTACAGAAGGGCCTTTCATTCATATGACTGTGCTGTGCTGTTCTAATAGACAGGAGATCTTTCTTAATGGCTCTGTACTGATTAATACATCAGACTGGGGGGTGGGGATGGGGGAAAGAAGTAGTAGTAGATAGGGGCAGAGATGAAGCCTTTGACTTCACTGTCAGTGGTTCCCTCAACAGAGACACCTACATACTAGAGATGCAGATAAGGGGTACTGGACTCAAATTTTGCATGCCTGTGCTCAGTTCCAAGCCACCAATCATGCTCTTTCAAGCCCATGAGCTCTGTATTCAGGTTTTAATAGGAACAGTGAAGCAACAGAAACGGAAACGCAGTACAGCTCACATCTGTCTGAAAAGACATGCAGCCTTAACTTCAATTTATGCACAAGACTTGTCTTGACTTTTGTATGCTTTCAGCAGTTCCCCAAAGGTATCAAACAAGAAGACACCAACAAGACGTGGTCTTCTCAGAATCAGTGTAATAAGTATAATACTAAGTTGCTTACAGAGACTATAAAAGAAAATCATCCTGTATAAGCAATTTGAGTTTTAGTCACTTAATTAAAAGCAATTCAGGCTCAATTCAACTATATGATCTCAATATGAAACAGAGACATCATTCAGAATTGCCCTGTTCACAGAATCTCAGACACTGTTTTAATATGGACTTAAATATACAAGCATTACTTTCTTTACTCCTAGCACCTCTGCAGCACAGGGGATTATATCTTCTCCATTTTACAGATGGCCAGCAGCACTTAGTGGGCAGATGTCTGTAAGGGCGAAGTGCTAATTCCCAAAATTTCCCATCTGAAATGTATCCTTTATACGTCAGACCTTTTTCCTCATACAAGTTTGCTTATTTTGCTCCAATCTAACACAGCTGCTGCTCTTAGCAGCAGTTCCAGCTGTCCCAGAATCACGCTCAGTTTGGAGCTCCCAAACATCAGAAGCAGGACAAACAACAATTCTGATGCTGTTGCTGCTTTCCCCTCTCCCATTATCCCTGTTTTTAAAGAACTATACTCAACTGTATCCAAGAACTTAGATCAAAACAGCCTACTTAACAGTATGTAATATGACTGAAAGCAAAGTGTTTCTCTTCAAATTACCTTCTCAGAACACAGAGTTCAACAATTTCAGAAAACAGAAACCATCACTGCAAATGTGTAACCCTAAGACTTTATAACTAGTCAAAGCTGTAGGTTTACCTCATCCTCCTACAGAACTATAGCAAATAGTATCTAGGATTTAAGACAGATCTTTCTGTAGCCTCTAAGTCTGCCATCCAGATCTTTCTGATTTAACACAAAGGGTATCTAAGTTTAATGAAAATAAGCCAGTATTTACCTACAAAAAACTCATAAAATACCGTGTTGGAAGGACAACAGCACAGATTAGTCCCAGTATACACAAAACATACATCTTAACAAATGACAGATGTCTTTAGTAGAATAAGAGCAACTGAAAAGCATTCAACAGACTTCTTTGTCTGAGGATCTTGAGGATCTGCATACAATAGACTTTTTGTAACCAAAAAATGCTCTGTCATTACCACTTGTTTGTTCCATGATCACAGGAAAAAAAATCTGGCAAAAGAGCTCCATATAAGCAGGATTGTACATGATACCATATAAGCCTACCTAAATAGATATAAAAATCTAATAGCTACAGAACAGGATACCAGCTTACAACGCAAAGGAGATGCTTAAGCATATACAGTTTGAAGTCTTTTAGTTTAACACTTGCAGTGAGCAATCCCTTTGCTTCTAGAAATGAGCTTTCAGACAAGAGCCTGACCACATCTTGTGGACAAAAACTGCACAGTGATTTTCCAAATAGGGTGGTACAAACTGTGACTTCCAAGTCACATTCTAGAATACAGTTAAATGGACAAATGTTTATTTAGATTGTAGCACTCTAAGCTCAAGGACCCACAGCCATTTTTTACACAGTCAAAGCAGGATTTATTTTTTGTAACCAATATTTAACTTTTCCTGAAACAGTATCTTTTAAAAAGGTAGGTCTGTTTGGGTGCTTCTGCTTAAAATCACCAAAACGTTTTAGCACCTGAAGAGTCTTGCTCACCTCCTGCATAGGTTCAAACCAGCTCGATAGCATGGAAGCTTTACTGGATACTACACTGCAGCAAAGAACAAGGTGGTATGACCCTCTAACTCTAATGAAGCCACCAGAAGTCTTATCCCTACACTCCTAGCAAGCACCATTTGAGCAGATCTGAGCTCCTCTGACTGAAAAGAAGTCTTTCCTTTGGATGTATTCATTAGTAATTCAACAAAACAAATAAAAATCAGACAGCATTCAGAACCACACCCAAGATTAACAAACCTGTCAACCCACAGATCTAAAATCAACAGTAGGGACAGGGAACCCTAATACCAAGAAATCAACTGATCTTTCCACAAAATGGAAGCCCGTTACTGGAAGCTTACTTCCTAGTCCGCAAATCTTCAAGTGTTAAATCCAAAATATAGGAACAAAGAATTATTAATTTATGTTATTTTTCTGCCTTGACAACTATATAACATAATATAATGATATTTAAATCAAGTACTTACAGGGTCTCTCAGCTCTTCATTGTCTCGAGTTGACGTTCGAGGTATTTTCACTGGTATTTCATCTCCACATTCAGTGTCTGAAGCATTTGGAGACTCTGCTAAATCAAGGAACTCATCTCTCTTGTGACCTCTGAACCTTATTTTGTCCAACTTCTTTAGCATGTTCAGCACTGCACTTTTCTGCTTTACCTTAACATGACGGTTGGAGTCTCTGAAAGAAACAAGACATCGAGAGTACTTTAGAGAGCTTTCAATAAACCTAAATACACACATTCTAATCACTAACTACTTCTAACTATCTTTCAAGGGCCTTTTTGCCACTGGAGGAAAAACATGCTGCAGCTTAGCTTTTTAACCGACATTTTTTTCCACAGTGTAACAGATGCATGGTTTGTTTTTCAGTAGTTGATGATTTACCATCTTCCCACACTATTATGGCCTCCTTCTCATGGCTATTTTTAAAGCAAATCAGAACGGGCACAGGCTAGCAACCTGCACTGCAAATAAAGAATAGGAAGACAGTTCCTAACAGCTTACTTGAAACAAAAAAGTTTAGCTGATAAGTCCATATTCTTCAGCTTGCTGATGTTTCTAATCAAAGACATGAAAATCCACTAAGCTTCACAACCAATCTTTAAATTCTCAGAAAAACTGAAGCTAAATAATAGAAGGTTATCATATCTCCCTACTGCTTCAAGCTAAGGAAACATAAAGTACCAAGCATTTATTTAAGAAAGCCACTGGACATATCTATCCAGAAGATCCCACCAAAGACTACAGATGGTTGAAATTGAACATAAGCCATATTCAAATACACTGTCAAAATCCTTAAAATTATCACGACTGACAATCTGGTATACCCTTTGCTAGATTTCTATTTCCCTTTGAGACACAAAGGAGAATCACTTTAATAGTGATACTTTCAATTTTTTTTTAAAACTAGCATGACCAAAACTTTACTGTAAGAGTAATAGCGCAGTCAGTATTTTTGCAGAATGTGTAGGTGCCAAGGCATCCAGAGGAATGAGAAATACCCAGGACATTTCACTTCCACGGACAGTATTTGACATAAGCAATACTTAAATTCTAAATCATAAATCATACTGGGAGAAGCATTTTGCTTTTTAAAAGAGAATTGTAGCTTTCCAAGACACTGCACAACATAATTTCTGATTTAAACCAGACCTGCCAAATCAGTCCAACTCAATATCACACTATACCAAAGGTCCCCAGCTCCATTTTTTTTAATTAAAAAAAAAAAAGTTAGTTCCTTGATCCTGCCACTCCAGCAAGCTGACACTCTGCCAGTTTATAAGAAACCAGCCACAATTTTCTCTCTTACAAACTCCGTTCCTCAGCTCAGAGCATTCCACTTGGACAGTGTCACAATGCTCTCCCCCAAACATTTTTTTTGCAGTGGTAAAACTTTATTTTGAGGCACTTGTTCCTGTTACTATCCTTTTTTCCCTATGGTCAACACTGCCCTCCTCTTCATTAAAAAAATATGCTTTGCTTCATGGCATGTCATCCCAGGCAGTGGTGTGAGATGAAGAAGCAAAAGTGGATCTAGACACGCGTCACTTCTGGAGTACAAATAAAGAGCAAGAAAGAAGAGCCTTTTGCTACTGGCTCCCACAGCCTTTGCACTTGAGACAATTCTCACCTCCTAACACAAGAAACAGAGCTCTTCATCTTTCCCCGTGAATTCTCCGCTTTCCCTAACACTTTGGCAGGGACTCTTCACACCAAGTTCAAACCAAATCCCTCCCTTCAAAACCTGCCTTAGTTTTCACCTTTGCCAAGGTTTATTAGCACCCTTCCCTTAAACTAATACAAATCCTCTGAAGTGCAGCCGGCAAAACAACCCACAAAATTCTTCCTTTATCAGAGATACTTTAAATTGCAGCCCTGTGTTTAAACTTTCACTTACTCACTTGTGGTAACTCACACCAAGGTTATTTTCTATGAACAGATTTTCTTTGAAGTTCTATTACTTGTCAAAGCTAAGTTTAAAATAGAAACACTTCTTGCTCACTCATTGACTATTTCATGAAGAAACTTGTCAGCTATCACATCCAGAAATATCTCTAGGCCCTACTATTAATAGCAACTAGAGAACAAATGCCATCAGGGAAGTTTAAACCTCTGGTAGGGCCTGGCTCAATTGTATCACGCTCCCTCCCATCTCAAAGATCTTCATCTTTATGTTCAACCAGTTTTGCACGCCATGTAAGTCAGACCTACAGCAAAGCAGTTGTAAACCAAACCCTGTTTATTTGTCATCCATGCTGTCATTGCTAATGATACAGCTACACGAAGAAATAATAAGGATGGTAGAGTGCTATCCCTTTTCTGGTCAGCAGTCATCAGCCCATGACAAAGGAGTACAAGCATGCATCCCAAACCTCCTCCATCCCTCTTACGTGTGGAACAGTTAAGTCAAGGCTGCAAAAGAGCCTTGGCAAAATGTCCTGGGCAGAATTAGGAGTCTTCAGTGTTCTCCTGTTAAAGCCATGTTTATCCACCACTCCCCAAAGACCAGGGCTGGATCTGGACCTGTTTTATAGCCTGGCATATATAGCACTTGAATGGACGTTTCAAGATCTGAATTCAGTTTTCCCCTTAGAGTTGATTCACATTCACTTATCACACAAAAGATGTGAAGGGCAACAAAAAAACCCTTGAGAGAAAGCAATCTCCAACCCTTCTCTTCAACCAATAACAAATGAAAGACCCACAAGGCCAGTGAAAAGGCACGGGGTGTAACTGCCTGGGTTGTTCACCCTTTGAGAACAGGTAGTCCTAAACTCCAGCCTCCTCCTAGGACAGTTTGTGCATTTCAGCCCTAGGTCACAGAATAACACATTTATGGTATTTTTCACTAGTAAAACTGATGTACCTACCCTTAAGTGTGTTACCACCAGGTCTTTTAAAAATGCAAACCTTTCTTTAAAGCACTAACAGATCACTCCACTAAACAGAGTCATCTTAAATTCTGTAACACAGAGGTCAGCAAAAAGAGATGTCATCACCGTCAATATTTTTGAAGCATTATTCAATACGTTGACCATTAAAAGAGGAAATAATAAAGAAACATGTTCCTTGGCATTTTTTTTAAGTGCTTTAAGTACAAGAAGCTGTTACATAAAAATATCTGCTTGGTTATAATTTAAAAATAAGATCATTTTGTCTAAAAATTGTTTTGAGTGTACCAGGATCCCAGATGACTTACAGTTACAGTAGATTAACCTCAGCAAAAATCTAAGCTTGCCAACAAGTTCCTATAGAAATTAATTATCTGGCCTCCAGCCAAATGTGTGACCTAAGACAGGCTTTTTATGTCAGCAGCCTGTTCTTGCAAATAGCAACTTTTTTTTAGATAAAGATCAATAAATATGGTGACATTTTGGCAGTTTCAGGCTCACTAGGAAAAAAGCTTCTCGGAGATTTTGTATTCCAAGTGACTTGGGTTAAATTTAGATAAGCTTGAGGAAGCTTTGTAAAACTTCAGACCAAAATCTGACCTAGAATTAGATTTATTGTAAAATAGAGTAACTAAATAGGAAAACACTTGCATCACCATCATACCTATTCACGCCCTCACCCTCTCCGAACTATTAATCCACATCCTGGACTCAGCTCATTCAGCTGTATGTTCCAGGTTGTTTCTAGTAACTCCCAATACCAGCAACATCAAAACCAACGTGCGGTTTTGCACATGCAGAGCTCAGAGCGCAAATGCAGACCCACATCTCCCTCTGCTTTCAAACTAACCATAAACAAATATTATGAAATTATAATAAAAATACAAATATTTTAACTCCATGCACTGTAAATACTATCACTTCCCAACACTGTCACACATGTGACAATAATTGTTCTCACTACCATACAACAAACAAGCTATAAATAAGAATTAAGACTGGTATCATGCTTGCAACTTATTAACTTGAGCAAAATAAAAATCAAATCCATCCTCCCCATTCAAGTTTATTTCTGCATGTAAACACCCTACCATTAATGTAAGCAACAGGAGATCTTGCCCACATTCAGTGCTTTAACAGAAAGTGCTGCAGAACACAGTAAGGCAGATGCTGACTCTGCAAGACTGATTTAGGTCTGACTTTGTTGCACCTCAGCCAGATCTAATAACACTAGCAGGTCCTCTGTCATAATGTAGTACGGATATCTTACATTAATGTGCTTACAAACACAGCTATTCAGGCATCCAGGTTTTTAAAAAGGTGGCTTTTATTTCTCTTGTTGCAGTAGCAGAGGTCAAACCAGCAAAATTAAACAACAGCCTGCAAAAATTATCTTGAAGTCTGAAAGCATATAGTAAAAAACTAGGCAACAGATTATGTATACAAGGCTTAATTAGCAAAAAAGGTCTATACTTTCCACGCTTAAAAAAAAAAAAAAAAAAAAGAAAAAGAAATAACCGCCACAAACTAAAATAATCTTTAGAGGTAGGGGTTTTTTAAATTGCCATTAATATCTAGTTGCTAAAGCAAACCCTTCAAGGCTGAGGTTTCATTCCTTTTACAGAGGGCCACAGAAGATATTACTTTATTTGGAACTAATATTTAGAGTTTAATTGAGGATTTTTATAACTGTCAGACATTGTTTAAATGAATACATCAAGACCCAAAACCCCAAACAAACATACACACACACACATTCCAAACTTATCCTAAGTAGAGAAAAATCAAGTTTTCCCAAACTTTCATGTAAAAATCACAAGGAGATCTAGCACAGCTTTTTCTCCTTCTATCTACAGAGAGTCTTCAGCAAGGAGACAACCAGCTGCAGGGGAACAAGAGCCAACCTGCCCAGTGCAGTCTAGAGGGACATGGTTACAGGGCTTGCCCCAGTGGAGATCCCCACCACTGCTTTGTGCCACTGATCCCCCCATGCTCTGCTCTTGCATCAATGTGGTAAGAGGCTGGGATGCAGGAGAGGAGGGAACTCGGGGAAGGGCAGCACTCGGTGCACCACTGCTGTCTGAAATCCACAACAACCCGCCCCAGCATCTCCTACAATTGAGGAGGTTATAGGTTTTGGTTTTCTGTTGTATTTCATCCTTACAAAAGAATATGTTAAATCAGAGTATGTGACCTGGTAGACTGGTCAGAGATTAAACAGCTAAATCTTCATGTGCACTTTGTTGGAGAAAGGACTCTGCTTCGCAACATGGCAATTCAGTTTTCT